TCACAAGTTTGGTATTTACCGGTGGATTTTATTTCAAAGGAGAACACTTTAAAATCTCTCATGCTTTAGTTTAAAAACATTAAAAAACATATGACTTTGAGATGAGGGAACCTCAATGGTAAAAGTGTTATGTTTAGGTTTTAAGACTCCTTCAGCTCTCTATAGCCACGGTTTTATGGCTTGTTCAGCTTTCCATAGCAGCTGTTAGGGACAAACACTTCCTTCACAGCTCCACAAAGATCTGACGTGTTTTTCTGCTCCTCAGATTGTCATGCCAGATGAGCGGAAGACCTCGGCCATCTTGGAAGAGGGCGTCCGCGGTCACGACTACCGATCCGAGCCGAACCTGGACCTGCCGGAGTACACCAACGCCCCGCTCCACCGCACCTTCCAGTCCTCCCCCCACCAACTGGACTCCGACCCCCTGACCTCTCGCTCCCTCAGCCTGAAGCAGGGTCAGCCGCAGACCCTCACCTCCACCCCGTACAAGAGCGTCTTCTCCCCCAACACGCTGTCCAACCGTAACGGCAGCCTCTCCTACGACAGCCTGCTGAACCCCAGCATCTCTCCAGCGGCCCCCCCCAGCGAGTGCGTGTCCCACCGCGGGATCCCCTCCAGCGGCTTCCACTCGCCCTACCTGCCCACCAAAATGTGCCACATCCGGGAAACGGACATGCAGAGGCACCAGGTTTCCTCCGCCTACAGTCCGGTGATGCACCAAAGAGCGGTGGGCCGGCAGCCCTCCCCTCACCTGCGGGACCGCGACCCGTCCCCCGTGCGCTACGACAACCTCTCCCAGACCATCATGGCCTCCATCCAGGAGCGGAAGGACATGGAGGAGCGGGAGAAGAGGCAGATTATTCACGGGCGCTCTCAGACCCACATCTACGCCCAGGACTCTGGCGTGTTTGACGGGGGTTACGGTTTACCCCCGAGTGTTTGCTACCCGGACGGGCCTCGTGGCTCCCTCTCCAGAGGCCCCACACCCCCCGCCTACGGAGGGTCCCGGGACAACCTGATGGGGGTCGGGCTGGTGAGTTATGGGCAGCGAGCCCCAGCGTTACGCTCCACGCTGGGCCGCGCCCCCAGGACTTCCTCCACCTCCCTCCACACGGATCATAGTAGCAGCAACAGCAGCCAGAGCAGGGCCGGCCCCCCCGAGGGTCTCTACCGCTCCCCGGCCCACCAACCCCACTCCCCCGCCATGCCCCGATCCCCCTCCTACTCCCACCAAAAACTCTCCTACATCAGTGCCCTAGAGAGGACAGACTCCCCTCGTCTGGGGGGCCCAAGGTATGAAACCTAACGTCCCCCCCCTGAGGGACTGCATGCTTTGAATGTGTTCCCGCTGGAGACCCTGCTCCTCCTGCTGGACACACACAGATTGAGGGCTGTAGTGCACTAGTCCTAACCGAGGCAATGTGTAGCGTTTCAACACGGTGTTTGTCTAACTGTTATGTTATGTTTAAAACTGTCTGGTGTGAATTCTTACATGTATTTTGGGAATTTATATGTTCGCCTTTCTAGTAAAATATCAATTTTTGTATTATTTCACAAGTTAATAAAGCTGTGTAACTACTCATTTCTTTTTGTTTTGCATGCTTTTTATTTATTTCATCTAACATCTCCAAGTCTCACTAACAAGAACACTTCCAACTAGGGCTGGGCGATATGGATTATTTAAAACATTACAATATATTTTAACAAATACCCCAATATAGATAGTGTGCAATATCGTATGGCTGACTATGAGAGCTTTTATAAATATTTACACAATGAGATATTTAATAAACAATCATCAGTAATGTGGATATCATGACTAAGCTGCTAAAACAAAGCAAATA